TCCCGGTACGTCAATTATTCACGCTGTACAAAAGTGCTCATACCTCACTACACGGAAACTGAGTCAACGTTTCCCGTAAGGTCCCCGTGACAGAACTTCTCTCCCTTTGATCATTGAGCCTGACTAACACAAACGTGTTTTGTGTTATAATTTACAGTTTGGAGTGTCATAAAATATTTTTATAATGATACATGCGTTTCATATGTACACATGTCATTATACATGTGTGAGGCAAAGAAATGGTTTCTTTCAAAAAATTGTTTTTATCTAACAATTACTCACATCATAGCGGTTGCCTCCCTTTGATCATTGTGCCCGACCAACACAAACATGTATAGTGTAATAATTTACAGTTAGGAATTTATATATTTTCATAATTATTTACGAATTTCGAATGTACACATATAATTATATATTTGCGAGATAGAGATAGGGTTTCTTGTAAAAGTTTGTTCACGTCTTTCCAGTTATTACAGACCCGTGGAGATCCGGGGAAGAATAGGTCTTCAGCAAGCCATGCTTGCCGTAAAAGGCGACTATACTTGTAAAAGGCGACTAACGGGATCGGGTGGTCAAGCTCGCTGTCAATCGCTGGATTGTCTGGTCAAGCCTCGATTATTTACAGACCGCCATTATATACCTGGAATATTGCTGAGTGCAGCGTTAAACAACAAACCAACCAACAACCAATCCAGTTATTACTCATCCCCATTCGCTATATGGCTAAAATAATGCCGATGCGACATTAAATTTTAACTCACTCACTCACTCATCCCCATGTAACTTTCTCTAACCAGAAGCACAGAAAGCACGGCGCACGGAGCCGTGCAATGATGAAACTGCCCCAGATGTTGTAGCTCCGTCATTTCGACACGCCAGAAGATGCCTGGATGATTTAATGAAATATTAAGAGGACAGCGCGACACAACCTGCCTTGGACTCGTTCTCCACCCGAAGAGTGAGTGAGTATGGTTTTAAGCCGCTTTTAGCAATATTCCAGCAATATCACGACGGGGGTCACCAGATATGGGCTTCACACATTGTACCCATGTCAGGAATCGAACCCGGGTCTTAGTCGTGACGAGCGAACGCTTTAACCACTAGGCTACCCTACCGACCACTACCAACTGTGCAGTAAGGCAGACCACAGTAAAATACATTTGGAAGTGTACAGGTTGAACTTGTAAGTCGTGTGTTTACACTGTACATGTATATGCAATTTATCCTTTAATAGTAATTTCATTAATTTGGGATATACACTGTACTGAATACAGATATACTGCTTTGTATACGAGGTTATTCTGCTTCGGTACCGCCTTGAGAAGGGGAGGTAATTCTGGTCAGTTTAGGGATTCAGATATGAGGAAACTCGTTAAAACCGGAATATTTTTAGAAAACGCTAAAGTCCGGATAAGCCGGGTTCGACTGTATATCTGTCTTCGTAATTTCACTCCAGAAATCTAGACACGCGATCATTTAATGATCCCTATCGATTTGATCGCATATCTCCGGGAACATGTGGCACCGTTCGACATACGTCACAGAGCTTCGGAGTTGCGTCCCTTTGTCGTGTCAGGATCCGCTGGTCGTGGACACGAATCCTGGACTCGCAAAAACTATTATTCTTGATTTGTCAGAACCAAACATGCAATCTCTGATTTCCCTACATTCTGTTCTATTTGAGATTTAACCCTAATTCACTCACCGAGAGCGGTTATATTTAGCAGTGTGTGGACCTCGAACTACGTCTATAGCGCTTCAAATACTACATGTGCACGTTTTGGTTTTTTCTTTCAGTTCGTGTTGGTAATGAACGTACGCCTAACTGACTGATATAGTAGATTTAACGTGCGCTTTCCGACTGTAGCGTATTTCGCTACAGACACTGCTAAATATAGCCGCTTTCAGTCACCTGACACCTGACGTCACCTGGATTGTAACCACGTGAACAAATCTCGATGTTTATCGCTAGCAAAATGCTCATTTCTTGAAAAGGCACTTTGCATTGTTGTCATTATTGTAAGTAATATTCATTAACGCCGGAACGGCTTGTTTGTACTTCATAAGTATTAGTGCACATGGAGTATCTTCGTCAATTAATCGTCGCGATATTTCGTGATTCTATTTCAAGTGGCGAGGACTATGAGAGAATAGTTTGCAATATCAATATTCATTTACTCAGTTGGTTCAGCAAATCTGCAAGAAATACTGGTTTTTGTAGAATTCTAGTTTTAAAATGTTAACATTACTTTATGTTGGTGCATTCTGTTTCATGTCGATATTTGTCCAGACTGTTTGGTTGTTAGTATGCTAGCTTCTACCGTGTAATGAAAACTTTGTGAGAAGTGTTTAACTGTCCGTCAGTAGTTAAAGATGAGTTAAGATGACTGGAGACATAATTCACGGGTTTCCCGTATTTAGGCACTTGCGAAATAAGACCATGGGCGTAATAATGAAAACAAATTCCACATTTAGGCCTATGGGCTTAGATTCAGATTACTTTATACAAACATTATTCCACAATATAATTATCTTATTCAAAACAAGAAATACGACAGTATGATGTGCTATAATGCATTATAGAGCTGACTTGGTTGATGCATGTTATTAATCCCAATTTCGTGCATCGATGCTCATGTTTTCAACCACTGAATTGTCTGGTCCAGTCTCGATTATTTACAGACCGCTGTTTCATAGCTGGAATATTGCTGGGTTCGGCGTTAAACAACAAACAAACAAACAAACAAAATAAACATTAAACTGGTATGAAGTTACTATTTCGCTCTGATTTCATTTTTCTGGTTTCTCCCTTGTAAAGTCTCATGTTGGTCTGACTCAACCTTTAGTCTGACGTATATAATCCTTTTCGAGTTTAAGCTCTGGGCTTAATTTCAGATAAGTCATTATCTCCCTGAAAAGTGGTATTTTCCGTATTAAAGCGCGGGGCTTATTTAAGTTTAATACCGGCAAGTCTACATATATGAACAGGTAACATAAATCATTGTTCAATTGTAACAGTCTTTATCTTTGAATCTTTCTGTAATCTATGATACATGAAGGAAACTGTGCAACAAACGTAAACGTGTGCAACAATCTGACTGATTGAAAAGCGTCAAATAAAATAACCTCAGTAAATGGGAAACAGGAGGTTGTTGTGATGTTGTTTAACCCCGCAATCCAGTGGTTTGTCTTGTTATCAGCGTGCCACGAATTTGGGATGCGTGACCCGTGACCCGCCGGGTCTGACTACACAAACGACCCGTGAAGATTCCGGGGTAGAATAGGTCTTCAGCAACCCATACTTGTCGTAAAAGGCGACTATGCTTGTCGTAAAAGGCGACTAACGGGATCGGGTGGTCAGGCTCGCTGACTTGGTTGATACATGCCATTGATCAAAATTGCGTGGGTCGATGCTCATGATGTCAATCACTGGATTGTCTGGTCCAGACTCGATTATTTTACAGACCGCCGTCATATAGCTGGAATATTGCTGAGTGCGGGGTTAAACAACAAACAAACAAACAAACTACAATAGGAGCAGTTGCCTTTCTAACCCGGGTCCCCACGAGGAGTTGGACCGTCTGACCAGTGGACGGAGACTGAAGTCTTGTGGGTAAATAATACATTGGTCCTTATGACTTTCCACAAATGTGAAATGATGACCCCCAAGGTCACCTTCTGTTATTGCATAAAAAAAATTCTGAAACAATGTGACACTATTTGTATCATCTTTAGAGTTCGATGTTTTTCCGAAAAATATTCTCCACAACGTTAAAGTTTATCCAAAAAGAATTAACTCAAACATTGTGTTTATGTACATGTCATTCTGCTGTGTCAAATCATGCCAGTTTATGAATTGTATTCCTCGTGTACCACAGCTGGTGGTTACCTAGAGTGAATAAATGTTGGTGTTGTTGTTGTTGTTGTTGTTGTTGTTGTCTTGTAAGAATACCACGTCAACTATATGAGTGAGTGAGTGAGTGAGTATGGTTTTACGCCGCTTTTAGCAATATTCCAGCAATATCAAGGCGGGGGACACCAGAAATGGGCTTCACACATTGTACCCATGTCAGGAATCGAACCCGGGTCTTCGGCGTGACGAGCGAACGCTTTAACCACTAGGCTACCCCACCGCCCCTCATCTATATGACAGGTATGGTGTATAGCTATAGAATTTTCCCCGGAAATTACCGACACATCGGAACTTAAAATGTCTTTGAACAAGACTTGCGTTGGTTGTATTTTCAATTACTTATATCATTTTCAACCGACAGTATTATTCGCACTAAAGACATAACAGCACTCACAAATTAAGAAGTTGACATCCTAATTTAGATGTAAACATTCGATCAGGGAGGCTATACAAAGAGCCTCTACATAAGCACCGTGATTCGATGAGGTATTGTACGGCACCAGCGATTCATCGAGAACACCTAATCATCTGTACATGCCACAGAGGAACCTTCAGATCAAGTACAGCTCACAGTTCCAAGAACACCCAAGACCTAGAGCGACAGAGCTTTTGAGAAAGCCGGACCTGTTCTGTGGAACGCCCTTCCGCTTGTCATCAGAAGCACAGACAGTCTGAACTCATTCAAGACCCAACTGTTTACCCTATAGCATATTACTGAAAGCACTTTAGAACACAAGTTTGGAAAAGACGCTATTCAAAATATATAATGTTTTATTAATGAAGCTGATTTTGTTTGTTGAAACACGGATATTATATTGGGGAGAGATTAAAAGTCAAATAAAACTTACTTTCAGGGAACACTTGTCTAAGTATTAGGTATCTTTTTATCTTAAATGAAACTATATCAGTGTTCCGTTTCTTTGCTGTAATTATTCACCGAAATCAGAGACCATAAAATAGATTTTATTTTACGGTCTCTGCCGAATGGATATTTAAAAGCGACAGAAGAATAGAAGATCCATAAAATCCCACTAAAAGCTCCAATAGTTAAGGGGAGGTTACTCTGAATTAAACTCGTCCCGTGAAAAATAAAATGGCGTACGTTGTGGTACAGTGTACGTGACAACATGCTCATGAACAGCACGTGAGCTCAGTCGTGTCGATGTCAGTGAGCTCCCGTGTAGACTAGTGGTGACAGGCACACGCTGCACATCCTCCGGGACAAAAAGAAACGCGCTGTGATTACAACTGACGAACGGCCCGTGAAAATGTCCTCGTGCCACGGCATGATAAGGATGAAATATTAAATTTCTCCACGTTGTGCATTGGTACATGAGCGAAGAGAAGCAAGTTGGGATGAAAGTGTTGCATATAGCGGGATTTGGGAAGAAATCTGAGTAGCAGACGACATACTGACAACGCATCACGATGCTGTTCATATAGTGATGAACACGGATTCTCAACGTTGATCGATCTCGGCACTGTCTCGGAGCCCTCCCGTACAGCTGATTGTAATGGGAAATGCGATAATGATTTTAATATGACTCCAACCGCTAAACGCCTCAAGCAGGCCAGTGCTTCTCTCTAACCGCTGTCCGGTATAGGTCAAGTGATGAAGATGCATCGACTTGTGTTGAGGTAAGTACGGAATTAGGAGATATTTATTTATTGGCCAGGGTATTTATGACTGCTGATGTCCGGCACAGATAGGACCGGCGAGTCCCGACAGGCGTGGTCAGGTTGTCACGTTCGTCCGCTTTGTAACATATTTCTGTTTGAAATTACAATTGTAATATTCTTTTCCATGTTTCTTTCATTTCGATTGCTGTCAATAATATTTTTCACAGCAGAAGATTGAAAGACTGTCATTGTGATGACATGTTCGATATTCGTATTATATTATTATGTATATTATCATCGTTATTTATTTATTTATTTATTTATGTATTAACGCAGTGTTAGCCCCAACCCTTCATAAAATACGACGTTACATTCTCATATTGACAGCACATTAAATAAACAGGGGTTATCAATAAGCTGGTTTTGTAACAGTAGAATTTTCAAATTCTGTCGTTTTTCAAGGCTGTATTACAGATATTATACACATCACCGCAGGTACAGGGACATCGGGGAGGTTATTTTCCTGACAATACGGGTCCTGCCTGCGGCCAGTTATATGGAATCGATATGACGTCATACCAGTGTTTTGCGGTAATACCTATGACGTCAGGGTAAACGTGAAAACAAATTGTTAGCGACATATATTAACAACATTTGGCTAACACAACTAAAATAATATAAGGGTAACGCGATTTTTCAGGGCATTATCATTTGCAGAAACCCAAAGTCTTCCATTAACTGCCGACCGAAGGAGGGCAGTTGAAAAGACCGAGGGCTTCTGCAAATGATAACGCCCTGAAAAATAGCGTTACCGTTATTATATCTAAGATGGATGGAATTTTGTATCAAATAAAAAGAAACAACAATATCGGTTTTGAAACATTTACTGCAATCAACACAAATGTCACTGACCCACTTTTACAAATATGGAAATGTCATAGAACAAACCAGATGACGTCACTATTGAACGTGACGTCACCTATCCCTACCTTATGACGTCACCTAACAACGGGCGTGATAATGGCCCGTCGTCAAGCAATATGGGGGCATTATCAAGTTACAGTGGCCCGCTGATTCTTAATAACATGCGGGCGGTTTAATGATAATTCTATCCATTTTAGCTATAATTAGGTATAAAGTTTAGGTACTAGTTTATTCGTAAATCGAAGCTTCGTATCATCTATATACTTCACTGAATGTTGACAATCCCACGCAAAGCTTCCTCTAGTTAAAAAAATATATTTCGTGACAGGTAATTGATTTATTCGCTAAGTAAGAAAATCAGTGATGACAGACCTGGCTTTACCTACACAGGGTTGTGATGCAGTCGTAAACTTTATAAAAGGAGCACACAGGTAATGAATCACCCTCGTGAAGATCAGGGTTAGAATTGGTCTTGGACAACCCAAGCTTCATAGTTATACACTAAGTATATAGTTTCGATTGTTTGGCATTAAACGGTTTAAAAAAAATCACCACAAATTTAGATATGGTTTATGATGATTTATTGTGACTTTGTGACAAGAAGAAGTATCGTCTGTCCTGTAACAGCATTTGGTTTAGTCCACTCGAACTAATGTATTGGGGTGTTTGGATAACCCTTGCATGCCATTTTTCCTTTAGGAGTCCTCCACATCGGTAGGCGACCCGTGAAGATCCGGGGTAGAATAGGTCTTCAGCAACCCATGCTTGCCGTAAAAGGCGACTATGCTTGTCGTAAAAGGCGACTAACGGGATCGGGTGGTCAGGCTCGCTGACTTGGTTGATGGATGTCATCGATCCCAATTGCGTGGATCGATGCTCATGATATTAATCACTGGATTGTCTGGTCCAGACTTTATTATTTACAGACCGCCGTCATATAACTGGAATATTGCTGAGTGCGGCGTTAAACAACAAACAAACAAACAAACCAAAACATCGGTAGGCAGCACATTTGAAACGTATGTCAGGTGAAATGTGATATTGATGGCACATCATGAAGACCTAGACCTCTTACACAAAGCGATGTCAGCACTTCGACTGTCTTAAGTCAGTGTTAACGTATGGTAGTAGGTCGTCTTTGTGCTGAGATCGCTTTTTGGAATGGCTGCACTGATGTAAATAACATATGTTTGTTTGTTTGTTGTTTAAGCAAGCATGGGTTGCTGGAGACCTATTCTACCCCTTATCTTCACGGGTCAAATAACATATGCTATTGTTCTAGATTCGACACATTACACCGTCTGCCTTAACCATCCCAAACTCTGTTTTGATATCTAGAAGCAATTTAACATTGTTCTTGAGAAATGTCTAAATCTACTCCAACACAAGTTGATACATTGTTTTGAATCGCGGATTTGTTTGTGAAACAGGAAACAACATCAGAGCTTAATTGTGTGACGTCATAGAAAAGAACCCTGTGGGGATACGTGTGTTGGATATTTACCTATCAACCTGTGCGTGTTGTATCGCGACGGGGGCACCTATAGGCCCCTTTAGACAGGGCTGCGACTTTTGTGCCACCTTGAGCGATCAAAAACTGGCCAGGACGCTCAATGGTCGCCTAAACCCAGAAATTCATGTTTCTATGCAACTGCTCCAGCAGTTGTTTAGCAGTAACTGCTCGAGCTGTTCAGCATCTGCAACCACAATGAAACACTGCAGGTACAAGCCCTCCTTTTATAGGCAGGCTAAGGAGGCACTACAGGTTGTTCAAAGGAGGCAGAAAAGAGGCAGAAGCATTGCCATGGTGTCCCAATGGTTGCCGTGGTCGCCGAATTGAGGCACGGCGGTCGCCACGTTCAATGCACGCCAAAAGGAGGCACAAGGGAGGCAGAAGTATCGCCCAGATTGACGGGAAAATATTTCAGCAGGACTCATCTATTACCTGGCGACCATTGGGCGACCACTATGCCTTCATTCTGCAACAACGGCAATGCTTGTTCCTCCCTTCTGCCTCCTTTGAGCCACCAACCTCCTCGGCGACCTTTGTGCGACTGTTTTGAACATGTTCAAAAATTCACGGCAACCATGGCATCCATGGCGATGTCTGAACCTCCTGTGTACCACCTTGGAACGACCTAGGCAACCATTCTGTCTCATTTGAGCCTCCAGCGATGACCTGGCAAATTTAATGGTCGCACACGTGAGGCACAAAGGTCGCCATCCCGTGTAAAGGCCCATTACTTAGATGTGTGACGTCGTATACTCACTTGCAAGGCGACCTCACCGCCTCTTGCGATGTTGAAGGACTTGGGTGGTTTTGAAATCAACCGATTATATTTGTCATTACGGACAACACAGATAGTAAATTGAATGTTGTAAGCGACTTGCAACAAGAGACCTGTTTAAAGATGTGCAGCTAATCTGTAGTGATCCCTTGGGCACGCCAGAAACCTATGATTGTGGGTTCGAATCCCGGTTCGCCCCGATTATGTTTCTAGGTTTGTCAGCACCATACCCGTGATCGTGGGTTTCGCCGAAGTGGTAAACGTCTGAGACCTGCCTCACTTCGGGCTTTCCTCCCACATTAAGCTGATACGCCGTGATATAACTGGAATACTGTTAAAAGCAGCGTTAAACCCAACTCACTCATTTACTCTCTTGGGACTACACTTAGATTATTGATTCAAATATTTGACATAGGAATGAGTGCGCATCGTGTTACCCCGCTTTAAGCAATATTCCAGAAATGTGCTTCACACACTTGTACCTATATGTGGGGAATCGAACACAGGCTTTTGGCGTGAAAAGCCAACGCTTTGACCACAGGGCCAACCCACCGCCCTTAAACGTAGCACGCACCTACAAGTCTGTGAACGTAGGAATATTTTTATTACACCCAACAGTGGATTATCTGGTCTGGACTCCATTATTTCTAGAACGCTGACCAAAAGCTGGAATGTTGCCGAGTGCGGTGTTAAACAATATTCATTCATACGGTCATGAGGACAATGACTCCTCCAGGATACTGATCAGTAGTGTGCGGGGATGCAGTACCATCAAGTTCACCAGAAATTAGACTCAGCATCTGATCCTCTTGATAATTTTCAAACTCATTAAAATCAGATCTTTGTGCTCGCTACCGTCACACCAAAGATCTGAGGACATCACATTACGGGTCAAAACGACCTTTCATCGGCTTAATCAGATCGGGAAAGTGACAGTCGGAATGTGTTTTCTGATCATGCAACCTGGAAAAGATTAACACTGGTTGCCCGACTACAGAGAAAGGGATGATCAGTGCACCCAGATAGGTGATGTGGAATTGGGTTTACAGTGCATGCGTGCGTGCGTGAGTGCAATTTTTAGTCATCCCCAAAGACGTTAAACGATGGTACTTCTTAAGCTGCCTGGCGCTCAATATTAAGGGGCAGTCATTGTACTGTTCCTAAGTGGGTTATTCATGTTTATACTGTGGCATGGTGTCACAGTGGGATGGCACAATAACACCAGTATTAGACCAAGTATTAGTACAAGCAGCCACACACACGTGCATGCACGTTCAACCGAATTTCACTTCACCTAGTTGGAATTCGGGTGGGAGCGGATGGTCTTTTGGATGACTCGTCCTGAATTCGTGAAACATTACCACTGCTTGTCGTACACGTGACTGCCAGGTGTGTATATTGGGTACGCGCCCTTCGTGCAAAGGAGGTGGTGAGGTGAAATGGGGTTTAACGTCGCGTCCAAGATTATTGCACTTATATGGCGACGTGCATGTACGTGTGTGTGTGTGTGTGTGGCTGCTTGTACTAGTCCGGACTGATGCCGATTTATAGTGCTCGCACACTGAGATACCATGCCGAAGTTTAACATGAATACCCCACTCAGACACAGTATACTGACTCCGAGCCGACCAGTCCTTGTTTTAGCCCCTTAATGCCGAGCGCCAGACAGGGTAACAACAAGAACAATTTTTTAACGTCTTTTGGTATGACGCGGCCGGGGATCGAACCCCGGACCTTCCGCTCTCCGGGAGGACGCTCTACCACTAGACCACGGAGTCGTGCAAAGGAAACCACGAGGCTAAACGT